TCCGCACATGAGTGGGTGCCAGGGGACAGAGCCTGGTTGCACGGTCCACAGGTACCGGTGGGTACGTCGCCAAAATTATTTAAACCCTGGAGGGGGCTGGTTGATGTGATTCGGGTCATTTGACCACAGTGGGTTCAGATTCGCTTGGGTCGGCTGGGTTGGTTTGTACATCCCTCAAGCCTTTCATCACTCTGCGTGAGTTCGTTCCATCTCCACACCGTAGGCGCTGCGTGGCAGATGTGTCCAGCGAGCTGAGGTGTGTACCCGCTGAGGTTGGTCCTCTGCTGAGTCATGTGATCCTATCCTCAGGTGCCGCGTGTTTAACGTCCCCCGAGCTGTCGCCTGTGCCGTCTCCACTGAATTCGGGAGAGGACGGCCCGTCCACACGGTCGACTGCTCTTCGTGAGGAGCCGGGTTCGACGGGATATTTCCATGTTCCCCCTGGGACCTCCAGGGAGAGTGAGTCCACCTCCCTCTTCGGTTTTCATGATCCATATGCACGCACACTCCCACACCATCGGTTGGTTGTCGCACTCGGCAGGCCGTATCAGTTATTGGCTGAACCTAGCCTTTATTGTGCTTGCGGGTGTTGTTACACAGTGAGGGTGGGAGATGTTGGTGATGGAGGGGGTTCCGAGCGTTTGCATGTTACTGTGTTTTGTTTGATTTCTCTCTTACCTTGTTGCCTATTGTTCTGTACTTTCGTCCCCTTTCCCCGTTAGTTACTGTATAATTGTATATAGAGTAGATACTGTATATATTGGTTTGCGTATTTATTTGTTGAGGCACGCTAAGGGTTTGTTCAATTGTTTAAGGGGGAGTTGGCAGCCGGGACGGCCGAGTGCTACGATGGGGGGGGGGGGGGGGGTGATTTAGTGGCATCGCAGATTTCACTGTCCGTGTAGTACCGGCCCTAGAGGGGCTCAGTGAGCGCTGGATGGCACAACGCGTGGCATGCAGTGCCGACCCCTATAGGATGGGGTGTGAGAGTGCCGGCCACGAAAATGGGGTTACTTTGGGCCTTGGTACTCAGGTTGACCCAAGAGGACACGTGACCGGTTGAGCCTACACAGGGGCCCCAAGTGGGGGTTAGGGGTGGTCGAGATCTTGATCGAAGAGTCTGAAGGGTGGGCGTGGCCAAGGGCGGAGCCGGCCACGCCGCAGAGCATATAGGCTAGGTCCCCCAGAGGGACTGGCGCTGTTGTCATCCTGAAGAAATCTACGTTCTACATCCCACGTCGTACAGTCTCCAACACGTGGTCAGGGACCCAAGCTGGGGTCCGGTCCAGTGTAGCCACTTACCGTGTAATGAGTGCAGTTAGCCTGGTGGTCCAACACCATCGGTTATCTTTTTAAGGGGAAGTTACCACGTGTTGGTATTATGCAAATTTATGGAACATGTAAATATATGAACGTATGCAAATTATGCTCAGCTTCGTTGCCGAGGGTGCATTACCAATCGTGATAATACAATGATTCTCGCTTTAACTTTTACTGATTATGATTTAGTGTAATTCTGTCAGGTCTCAGAATTCAGATCTAACCGCAGGATACAGTTCTTATAATTGAGATTATTATGCATGAACTTAGGAAGGAACCACTCAGACTTATCTACGTTAAGAAACTTTAATATCTAAAAACACTCTAATATGCGAAGACACTTACGATTGGAATTGTCAACACCATACTCCTGAAGATTTCCTACTCATTGATCCATACAATTAACCCTCAATGGTTAAGTTTTTTAAAACGGAGTAACAGAACAATTGGATAACTCCTCCGAGTAGAGCGACCAAACACGGCGATAGGAAAAGTCCGTAAAAAATTACAATATTCATATGAAACGTGCTAAAGAAACATGTGCCCAATGGCAAAAGTAGACACCAATTAATTCATTGGGAAGATTATGCAATTAACGAAATGTCCTGAAACAAGTGTGAATGCTAGTGTGCCTGTTTGGCTAACAGATGCTTATCAATTGGCTAACGGGACATCAATGAATTTGTGGGCAAAATTCTGTGATCAAAATAAAAATCTTAACATAATAATATTCCTGTGTGTAGATTGATAACATAGATGCTGATCAATGTTTAGTGTGTCAATGAATTCATTGGGAAGGTTAGGCAATAAACAAAAACAAATGACCAAAATACATCTAAACGAACGTATTCATGTAACTCAAGGGACAGAACAATGCTTTTCAGGATCAACTAATAGTTAATGCACCACCTTGGTATGGCAACCCTTTTAGAAAAACACGAAGATAACTTTTTGGAACAATCTTATTCGTTCTAATATGCGCGTTGTGTGTGTTGTCTTCTTGCTAACTGTTGAGTTAGCAGCTTCCGAGGTGCTGCGTTCCTTGTACCGAAAAGACCTCAAGTCCCCAGGAGGGGCGCTGGGTCTGCGTGTGTGTTGAACACATGATGCTCTGGGCTGCTTCGTCAGTCTCTCTCCATCGCTGGGCTGGTTGCCGAGTCGGCACGCTGGTCACGCTGTCGGTGGTGCCCGTGCTGGCAGGGATGATGGGTCTGGCTGCGTCGATGTGCGCGATCATCCCGTTGCCAGACACCGCTCGCAACTCGTCTGCTGGTTGCCGCGCATCACCCCCCTTGGCACCAGACTGTTGATCCTTGTAGACTGTGCAGCGACTTGGAGAGACAGTGCCTGTCGTCTCCCCCCCCCCCCTCTTCAAGAAAGTCCTCTTCCAGTTGTCTGTACGACTCGTGCTGCACAGAGGACACGCTACAGATCAAGTTATATCATTCCGTGTCATCTTCTTTGGTTCTTTCGGTAGTCACGTAGAATAATAAAATAAAATAATTCTCTCTGAGAATTATAAAATAATATAACACAATTCTCTCTGAGAATTATACTTTACCGAAAGAACCAAAGAAGATTAATCCTTGCAGTCACGAAAGCTTTAAATCGAAATCTTTCCGTGTCAGTCTCTGATCTGACCCTCAACTAAACTTCGCCTGTGGGTTGCGATTTAAAGGGGCACTCTCACGAATAGTGGGTTGCACCAGCTTTCCCTCGAAGGGTTGACTATGATCGGAGCACAATCGTAACAATTGTCACTCTTTGATTGTGTTGACTGTACACAGCGACCTCGTCACCGGGAATAGTAATGTTACGGCATTTTTCCTTGGCTGGCAGCTTCTCTCAATGACGCAAAAAAAATAAAAACCTCTACGTGATACGTGGCTTCTGCAGAGCTCCATATTAATTTGCCAGTCACGAGGGCAATCCCCGGAGCCTACCACTCGCAGTACTTTGGTATGGCATTGTGAAAAGCAACAGCTTTTATTTTTAATGATCGCTCGCATTGCTTCTTTCGTATGGCATTGTAAAGAGCAACAGTTTTATTTTTAATGATCACCATAAATGAATGCAAAGGTTCTTCATCCAGTTCAATTATGTGGTTGACGCAGTGTGGATTTCAGCGATACCGCCAGGATGTGCATGGATAGAGCATTCATCGGTGATGTGATTGATGGTTTGGACTTCTCCACAGTCGCAGTTGGCCGATTCTTTGAGCAGTACTGATTTCTGTTCTTGCGTTCTTGCTTATATCTGAATTTTTCCACCTCAGGCTCTTTCTTCTCATAAAGGGGCAGCTGTTTTCCTTTTGAAGTCGCTTGGGCTGTTTGTTGTCCGGATGTCTTTACTACCACCATGTTTCTGTTCACATTCTGAGCAGCGTTCCCCATGCTCCCACTACGGGCTGGAAGTGTTACATTTTTTTTCACATCAGACTTGCAGTCCTCTCTCTATTGTGCACGGGTGTGCTTGCTGTCGCCATATTTTCCGTCCTGTCATCACGGGTTGGAAAAAAATATATTTTTATAACTCATAGCTTTCCGCAGTTTTGACTCCAATCGACTCAAAAGTACGTTTTGAGCAGCGTTCACAGCACTCACGTCGCGGTTTGGAATTATTGCGGGGTATTTGTTATATTAGGCGGAGACGCCCCCCTGCATACATAATTTACTGCTACCATGTGCTGTTAGCTACTGGAAGACAAAGGCAGTTGGTGAGGCTCTGATCCCGTGGAATACATTATCTTGGTCGTGACTGATTGACATATTTCGCATTGTATCTCTTCTGAATGATCCTAGATCTAATACTTTCATAATTATTATTTGGTTCATGTTTAACCAAGATATGGTACACCGTAGTTGTTACCGAGGATATTCCGAGGGTTTTATTAACCTTTGTTCCGTCAGTATTGCCAGGGATCTGTGCTTCTTATTTTCAAGTTATATTTTGATATCCTGAGGTTGAAGATGTAGCTAAGCTTCGAACTTTACTGTTGTATTTTGAAAACCCCAGTCAGCTCAAGATGATTAACTGTCCTTGGGTGGATTTCAAAGTCCAAGGAAGGATCATGACCTCTGCTGTTTCCGTCTTGTTTGCTTTATTGTGGGTTGTTTCCTTTATGGCAGCCTTGTCTTAAAGTCAACTGGGGATTACCCGCAGAATCTCGTTAGCCCCCCCCCCCTTGGGTTTGCCATTTTTCAATTACATTTTATGACTTCCCAATCAGGCTTGTGAGTAATTATCCTCCGATCAAAATTATTACAAAAAGTCAGAATCACTCTCAATGTATATTTTTGGAAAAGTCATATATGCAACATTCTCTTCGAGTGTTTGTGATGAGATATGATACAAAACTCTGAGCTGCTGAGGCGATTAAGCAAGCATCATTATAATGCTGATATTATTATAACATAGTGAATGCTTGGGAGCTTATTGGCCCTCGCTCCTAGTTAGAGATCTACCCAACCCACAGGTCCGCAAATACTGACCGCTCTTACTCTGCAGGTTGAACCTAGGAATGGAGTGTTCAACTTCACGTTCTTTTCATTAAAGGCCTGTGACAAAGGTGAATTTATTGGAGCTTCATTGTCTCAAGCTTACACATCTACAGGGTCTCCATTTGACTTTGTATTGTCTAAGAAGTCCACCCACACCTCCACTTCCACAAACTGCTGGGAGTTGCCTCGCTCTGCCTCACAGTCAGAATTCTCCTCCTGCTTCACGTTGCCTCCATCGATGCGAAGGTCCGATTTTGGAGTTGAATCTTCATCTTCACATTTCACTTTCACTTCTTCGCTCTTCACTGTCACCTCTTCAAATTTCACCTTGAAACATTTCATAGTGTCCAAGCTGGAATTCACTTCTGGTTCTTTTTTCAGGAGGGATGGGCTCATTGCAGCACTTTGACTTTCACAAGTCGATTTCAGATTACACTCCTTGAGGATCTTCTGATGCCTGTGTGTTCTCTGGTGTACATGAAGATCTGATGACTGTACAAATGCCTTTCCGCACGGAGTACACCTGAAGGGTTTCTGTCCTGTGTGTGTTCTCTGGTGTCTTTTAAGATGTGATGACTGTGAAAATTCCTTCTCACACACACTATCCCTGAAGGGGTTATCTCCTGTGTGTATTCTCTGGTGTCTTTTAAAAGAAAATAAACTTGAAAATGCCTTCCCACACACACTGCACTTGTATGGTTTCTCTCCTGTGTGCGTTCTCTGGTGTGTTTTAAGATGTGATGAATGTGAAAATGCCTTCTCACACACACTGCACTTGAAGGGTTTCTCTCCTGTGTGTGTTCTCTGGTGGCTCTGAAGATCTGCTGCCCATGTAAATGCCTTCTCACAGACAGTGCATTTGAAAGGTTTGTCTCCTGTGTGTGTTTTCTGGTGTCTTTTAAGAGTCGGTGAATCTGAAAATTCCTTTCCACACACACTACACCTGAAGGGTTCCTCTCCTGTGTGTGTTCTCTGGTGGATCCGAAGACCTGCTGCCCATGCAAATACCTTCTCACACACAGTGCATTTGAAAGGTTTCCCTCTTGAGTGTGTTCTCTGGTGTTTTTTAAGAGTCGATGAATCTGAAAATTCCTTCCCACACACACTACACCTGAAGGGTTTCTCTCCCGTGTGTGTTCTCTGGTGTATTTTAAGATGTGATGACTCTGCAAACGCCTTCCTGCACAAAGTGCACGTGAAGGGTTTCTCTCCCGTGTGTGTTCTCTGGTGGCTCTGAAGAATTGATGACCGTGCAAATGTCTTCTCACACACAGTGCACTTGAAGGGTTTCTCTCCTGTGTGTGTTCTCTGGTGCTGTGTCAAATTTCCAGTATGATCCGTGCTGTATGCACACTGGTCGCAATGTTTCCTTTTTGTACAGAGCTGCGCTGAGTGCCTTTGCTCCATCAGACCAATTCTGCAGAGGAAGCATCAGAGGAAGCGTCAGCTGCAGACAGAAAAACATATTCAATACCATTTACATCAGTATCGAGACAGAGAGGAATGAATAAAAAAAAATAGTTCAAGATTTTGTGACTGCAGGAATTACTATTTGGTTATTTCAGTAAAGTCACGTAGAAATAAAATGAAATATAAAATAAATAATATAACACGATGTTTCGATTGCAACATAAGCAACCGTCATCAGGTGAGAACTGCAAGTAAATGCAAGCTTGGAGAGAGACATATACAGAGAGACAAACAGACACGGAGAGAGACACACACAGAGAGAGACAACCAGAGAGACACAGGAGAGACACATATAGAGACACGCAGAGACACAAAGAGAAACAACGCCTCTGTGACGAGGTATTATATATAGAGAGGGGGGGGGGGCTGAGAGGCAAGGGGGGATGGGATCTGCAGCAGGGGGCATGTAGAGCCAAAGGGGGGGGGGGGATGGGATCTGCAGCAGGAGGAGAGAAATTGCAATCCTGAGAAATCAAACCAAGTAAACTTAGAAATGTAATGCAATGCAACACAGAGTCGGCTAACACAACAGTTAACACTTTACCTGGTTGATTACGTTCTTCCAAAGATTGCTTAATTTGAAGTTAAGTAACTTGACACTGTCACACACTGACATGGTAAACAGGTGGTGGTGTGTCCAGAACCATGTGTGGCCGCCTTCATCTGCTCAGTATTAATGCTTCCTCACTTCACCATGTAATTAATTTAAGATCAATAAACATAGCAGAGGCCCACAATTAGTTCAGCTTTCACTTATCAATCGTGTTCGCTGTCGGCGAAAATTTAACTCTAATTGTTGAGTTCATAATGCAGAGTTGAGCAGGTGCAGTGTTGTATGACATTAAATTCCCAGGCAGGTGATTTATTTTTGTGGAACATTTGCAAGGCCCCATTTCACGATGGAATTATCAAGCCACAGAACAAGATTCCCTAATTCCATCTCATTAAGTAGCCATTACCAGATCATCATCAGTTGTAACATGGTTGACCAGCAGGGAACGATCCTTTAACTATAACCAGGCATCGATTAGCATATCATTGTAACCGTAACAGATGCAAAGGTTTTATATGACCATTGGGAGCTTCTCAAACCACATAATTAAGGAAGATGCTATGTGTAGTGACATCATTGGATGTCACTGTGTGAAGCTGGCCTGGGAGAGAGGCACGGCATGCCACGTATTGACATCGCAGACACCACTGAAGGTGGATGCAGTACCGGCCCTAGCGGGGCTCGGGGAGCACTGACTGAGAGCAATGGATGGCACCACGCTCTGCGTGCAGTGCCAGCCCCTTACAGGATAGAGTGCAAGGGTGCCAGCCACGGAAAGGGGTTGCAAGGGGCCATGGCACTCTGGGTGACCCCGGAGGACACGTGACCGGAGATGATGATTGCTTGTGTTGCGATTGAAACATCGTGATATTTTATTATTTTTAATTCACTTTATTTTCATTTTTCATAATTATATTATTATTTTTTCTATCCACGTGACTTTACCGAAAGACCCAAAGAATATGAATTCATGCAGCGACGATAGCTTAAAGTCAAGCTTAAACTGCTGTCGACATTTATGCCAAAATTGAAGCTTCATTCGATTAAACCCACAAGATGGCAAAACATCCAACATTGTCTATCCTGAAGCTCTCCAAAGGCAACAAATTTAAAAGCTGTCCTCATTATGAACAAACAAGCCCTGTGATTGTATAACACAACCAAGAAACCGTGACAATATACACACATTTACAGACTTCATTGGCAGAATTCAATAATTCCAATAAAGCCAGCATTGCAAGACATTACTCTTAATATTTGATTACTGAGACCTGTGCGAAGCCGGGTAACTTAGTTATTACCGAATAAATACGATACTTCTGATGATCATGTTTGTGCCTGAGTGGGGAGCGGTAGTGCAATGGTTAGCATGCTGCGCTATAAACCCAGCGAGACGATTTATATTCCCACAGAGCCAAGCCACAACATTTGGCTGTCGCCTGATGAAGCTGGTTGTAATTACTGGCGAATGTCGTACTCAGATTGTAAATGTTGTGGCTTGGCTCTCCAATACACAACCGGTGTAGTGCTGTACTAGTGACGAATTGGCCACGTTCTGTTTAGGTGACAAACCCTACTAGTTGGCTGTATCGGGTGGTGGCGGGTTTAACGACACAATTATATATGTACGCGATCTAACCCAAACAAACCTGTATTACTGCTGTATATTTGGAGTTTGCGTGTCTCTCTCCCCGTGGTCGCGTGGCCGGATCCTCCGGTTTTCCCTGCACATTTAGAGTCAACATCACCACGCGTTTAGAGTATTTGACAGATATACATTTCCACACGTTGATAAGCCACTTTGTTGTGGGCAGATCGCTTCTGAAAAAAGAGCGGTACAGCTCAAGTGTGCTTGGCCTTGGTAAGATTAAAAAAAACTGAATACTTAAAAGAAACAAAGTTTCAAAGTAGTGAGCCAGGTGAAGACAAATTAAACTTTAGCAGATAATTAAAGCACATGCAATCAGGCGAGGGCAGGAGGCAAGGCCCCGCATGGCTAGGCCCCGCGTTGTAATGTTCCAACCTGGACATCGATTCCATACTCGCTGCTACTCAATTGATATCCCTACGAGAGAGAGAGAGAAGGAGCGAGGCTCTACCTGGATAAACAACAACAACAACAACAACCACCACAACAACAACAACCACGATGTGAACTTCTCACCTCGGATCTCAGTGAGCGCGCGCGCGGATCGGCAGCTTCCTGGTGTCTCGTGAGGTCATGCGACTGTAGGTGACATGACGTCACTAGCTGGGCACACCACCCCCTGGCGTCTCACGCCGATGACGCAATGCAGTGGTGACGTCAGAGAGCGGGGTTAGAGTTTATGTTTATTTAAAGCTTGACTTAAAGCTGTCGTGACTGCAGGAATACATTCTATGGGTCTTTCGGTAAAACCACGGCCTCAGGGCGCCCTCCGATCTTACATTTACAGTGGCACCTCGGTATACCTCGTTAATTCGTTCCAGAAGGTAGGACTTATACCGAAAATGACGAATACCAAACGAATGTTTCCCATAATAAATAAAGGGAAAGGAAATAATCCGTTCCAGATTATAAGAAGTTATATTTTATATGGCATATTATACATTAATGGGGTGGTATAAAATAATTTAGACACTACTTATTACTAAAATGCATACATAAATTAAAAATGGTGGTGAGGAAGGGGAGGAGGAGGAGATGTTATTTTTTGGGAGTAGAGTCCCCTTCCATTAAAACTTCAGGATGCTGAAATTCTGTGGTTTTTTTTCCTTCTCTTTTCTGTCTTTTTGTCTTGACTTGGACCTGGTTGAGGCTCATCAGGTTTGAGTTTTACTAAAAAAAAACCTGTCCATTGAAGTTTGTTTTTGCCTTCTAAGAATGTTCCTGAAGTGTGACATTGCCTGGTCATTCCACACAATACTGTTACGAGCGGCGCTTTGTTTCAGTCATGAACGGGGTCTACGCGGGTATGCGGTGACTCATTCCGACCCATACAAGTTCTAGCAAGTGCGTCGTAACCCAAGACATTTTTTTCTCGTCAAAATACAACGTATACCAAATTCGACGTAGTCCAAAGCGGTCGTATACCGAGGTATGACTGTCCATGCAAATACCATCTCTAGCCCTGCCCACTTACCCTTGGGGGCCGTCCATAAATGATGTCACGCGAATTTGGACGGTTTTTGACCCCCCCCCCCTTGTCAAGCCCCCCCCCCTTGTCACACGGCGTCACAAAAAGTCAAACCCCCCTCAATTATGCCAGCACAAAGCTCTGCACCCCCCAAAAAAACACATGTTTCCATTTTGAAAATAAAACATGCTTCAAATCGCTTTAAACTATTGCCATTGTAGTGTGTATTTAATGTGGGGCTGCACTCTGATGTTGTAGGAGTGTTGTTTTCACAATTAGTGTTGTAATAACAATTCTATATTTAATAAAGAATTAAAGCTTTCGTGACTGCATAAATGACTCATTGTTTTTTTTGGTAAAGTCACATATGTAGAAATACCATGAAATTATATTAAAATAAATCAATCACGACGTTTCGACTGCAACACAAGCGATCTTCATCAGGTGTAAAAAACAAATAGCGAGGGAGCATTTAGGGCGACACCAACACAACACATAGAGAGCGCCAAACTGCACGGAGGTAAATACAACAAGAAGATGAGAGACGAAAATTCAACAAACCTAAGAAAAAATTACGTGATGCAAAACCAGTCAGGCCAACAACACAGTTAGACACTTGCCTGGCGGACCACGAATTTCAGAAGAGTGCTAAATTTCGTGTCCATCCTCTGGATTGAACATACCAGCATAGACAGAGTGAACAAATACGAGGTACAAGTCAGCAGAAATACATATACAGGGACACCAAGAGGCAAGGAGAGGAAAGACGGACAGAGAAGCAAGGAAAAAAGAAAAAGGGCCGGAGGAATGAACAGACAGAGGCCTTAAATAAGAAGTAGAGGTGGGGGGAGGGGCCGAAGAGAGCAAGGGGGCACGGCAGCAGAGGCGGGGGGAGGGGTAGGAGAAAGCAAGGGGTACAATACGTTTAGGACAGAATTGTAAAGGTAACTTCCCCGTAGAAGTGTGTTAATAAAGAATTAAAAATAAATTTATGCGAACCAACACACCTGAAGACGACCGTTTGAGTTATGGTCGAAACGTCGTGAGAATTTTTTATTGTTTTATATATTTTATTATTTTGTTGTTTCTCTTCAACGTGATTTCACCGAAAAAACTAAGAATATGAATTACTGCAGTCACGAAAGCTTTAAATCTAAAAAGAATTAAAGCTTTCGTGACTACATAAATTACTCATTGTTTTTTTTCGGTAAAGTCACGTATGTAGAAATACCATAAAATTATATTAAAATTAATCAATCACGACGTTTCGACCGCAACACAAGCGATCTTCATCAGGTGTGAAAAACAAATAGCGACACCAACGCAACACATAGAGATCACCAAACTGCACGGAGGTAAATACAACAAGAAGATGAGAGACGGAAATTCAACCAACCTAAGAAAAAATTACGTGATGCAAAACCAGTCAGGCCAGTTTGGCGCTCTCTATATGTTGCGTTGGTGTCGCCCTATATGCTCCCTCGCTATTTGTTTTTTTACACCTGATGAAGATCGCTTGTGTTACTGTCGAAACGTCGTGATTGATTTATTTTAATATAATTTTATGGTATTTCTACATATGTGACTTTACCGATAAAACCAATGAGTAATTCTATATTTATAAGAAATTGCGCATTTTGATGTGACGTCACATTTCTCAACCCCCCCCCCTCGTCACACATCGTCACAAATGTCTGACACCCCCCCCCCCCCCCTAGGTGCGTGACGTCATTTATGGACGGCTCCTTGGGCTGCACCCATCTCAGGCCTATATAACGTCCTGCTTCAGAAGCTCTCTCGCTGTATTTTTCCACCTGAAGACGATCACTTGTGTTGCGATCGAAACGTCGTGATATTTTTATTATTTTTCTATCTGCTTGGCTTTAACGAAAGACCCATAGAATACCATGTGTATACACATACACAATAGTGTTCACGTGGTTGTTGAGCTCACGCACCCAAGGAGTCTCTGTTCAAGAGAGAGAGAGCAATGGGAAAGGAATAGAAATATCAATAAACTCAAAATAAACTCATTCCATGGTAAATCTTTTTGCAGATGACACGATACTGATTTCTGCTGGCCGCTCTCCGGATGACGTGATTGCTAAGCTCCAGGGTGATTTCAACAAATTACAACATCAGCTAGTTGCTCTTAAACTAGTCCTGAATACCTCCAAAACCAAGGTGCTATGCTTCTCACCAGGACTAAAGCAGGAAGTTATTTCCCCCCAATTACATTCCTTAAATAATGATCAAATAGAACAAGTCAATATCTATAAGTATCTTGGGGTCATTGATTCAAAACTGAATTTTTACGATCACATTGATTATATTGGTAAAAAGACAAAAGTAAAAATTGGTTTTCTGTATCGACACAAGCATTGCTTCTCCCCTATGTTCCGTTTGGAATTGATAAAAGCTACCATACTGCCTCTACTTGATTACTGTGACATCGTGTATAAATCAATCCCCAAGTACTGTACTGAAGACGCTTGACTCAATTCATCACTCGGCCTTAAGATTTACATTGAACTGCCCATATAGGACCCTCCACTGTGATCTCTACATTGGGTCAAACTTAACATCTCTTAATGTTCGACGGCTTGTGCACCAGATCTTATTAAATTCACGATGTACTTACAAAAAAATCTGCAGACTACCTGCTGGATCTCCTCTCTGTTTCGAAGAACAAATGTGACCTAAGGTCTTCACTCATTTTCTAGCTTCTCATTCCTTATTGCCGTATAAATACTGGAGGAAAGGCCTTTGCTGTTGATGCCCCCAGGGTCTGGAATGCTATTGCCAATAAACTGCAACTTGAATCACTACCTATGAGATCTTCACTCAAAACTGCTCTAGAGGATTTGTACACCCCTTGCTGCCACTGCTATTCAGTGGCCTATAATCAAATGTTTCGCTCCGGATGACCATTGCAAAGTGTTAACTTGTGTTTTGATTTAGTGTGCTGATCTTTAAAGGTGCATTGAAACATGTTGATACTCCTACTGATGCTCCTGCTGTTGTGGAGTGACTCATGCAGCCAGCTATGGCTATAGGGTTTGGTGGTACATGTTGTTTATGTCGTTTATTGTGAAATTTCGGTCACAGTTGCTATGATCACTGTTACATTGCTTTTATGGCTTTATTTTGGTGATTTCGAAAAGTTTTTTGGTTTGGCCATGTTTGTTTGTTGTAGTACGGAGTTAAACTAATGGCTTTAATCTAAGTTGTCTTGTGGTTGTTGTTTGACTTGCATCCCACTGGGATTTTTGCACACAGCGTTGGTGTAATGTGCTTTTTCTGGAAGATATTTCTGTTTTTTCCTAGATTTTTCTGTTTGTGCACAGTCACTTTAAGATGTTTTCTTGTTCATGTTTTTTTTTTGTTGCGGTTGCACCCGATTCAAGAGCCGAATGGCTCACATGGCTATACGTACCAAATAAATGAAACTGAAAACTGAAACCCCTGCTCTCTGACGTCACAACTCCGCATTACCTCATCGGTATGAGACGCCTGAGGGAGGTGTACCTAGCTAGTGACGTCATGTCACCTAGGTATTCACCCCCTCCCCCAACCCCCCCTCCAACGCGCTTTTGAGCGTGACGTCACGTCTGGTTGGTCACTGTCGATTTCTGTTCCAGTAAAAAATCCTTATTTTGGCACAGCTACGTCCAGTCACCGGCGGTTCATTAACATAATTTATTCAAAATTACCGTCGCGAGTTCATTGTGACGGGTCCAGCATCCATGCCTCATCACTGGACATGAAACTGTCTCGTTAACATAATTTATTCAGTTACACCGCCGCACGTTGGGGGAGGGGATTGTGTGTTGAACCACGCAAGTGACGTCATGTCACCTTCTGCTGCCGCGTGACATCACGATATATCCAGAAGCTGCTGCACCGCGCGCGCTCTCACTGAGATCCGTGGTGAGAAGTTCACATCGTGGTTGTTGTTGTGGTGGTGGTTGTTGTTGTTGTTTACCCAGGTAGAGCCTCGCTCCGTCTCTCTCGTAGGGATATCAATTGAGTAGCAGCGAGCATGGAAGCGATGTCCAGGTTGGAACATTACAACGCGGGGCCTAGCCATGCGGGGTCTTGCTTCCTGCCCTCGCCTGATCGCATTTGCTTTAATTCTCTGCTAAAGTTTAATTTGTCTTCACCTGGCTCACTACTTCATGGGACCTCCTTTGCCAGTATCAAAATATAAGTAGAGGTTATCCCATTTTTTTGGCAACAAAACAGGTGTTAAGATTTTGATTTAAAGCTTTCGTGACTGCAAGGATTCATATTCTTGGTTTCCAAGAATGAACCAACAATAGGTGTTAAAATGCAAAAAAACATGCTCTGATAGTACAGTATATGCATTGTCTGTGAAACAGATTGGTCCACACCAGAGACCGCTTTCTTTCGAGCCTAGTCTCAAACGGTGTTAGACAAGAGGACGCCAAAAGGCGAACAGCACAAAGACAATGCCACTATCAGAACAATGGGAGCTCGGGGCGAGCAGCTACTTCATGGGACCTCCTTTGCCAGTATCAAAATATAAGAAGAGGTTTTCCCCTTTTATCATTTATAGATTTATACTATTTTTTGTATACGGTTTCTCCGTGTTTATTTCAATTGTTTATTTGGAATGCAGTACTTATTTCAATTGTGATGCTAATTTTAGTTGACCTTTACCTAACACCATTACTTAGATCGGGCTTAAGTATTGAATGTTGCGCTTTTAGCTTTTGCGCGGCAATTTCCAAGAACGTAACCTCCACGGTATGCAAGGTTTGCTGTATTTTACGTCTATTAACTACAGCAGAGGTATATATATTATTGGTTCTTTCGGTAAAGTCACGTTTAAGGGAAACAATAAAATAATCAAATATATAAAACAATAAAATTCTCACGACGTTTCGACTGCAACACAAGCAGTCATCATCAGGTGTGAAAACCAACGGCAAGAACATTTGAAAGAAGTGGCGGATCGTATTTATTTATTTTTAAACGTTAGCACCACGGATAGCGATTTGACAGTTTGTTTAGATGGACGAGTCCATCTATGTTTGGAAAAGAGGAGGGGGGGGAAGACGAAAAATTAATGTATGCTGTCTGAAAGCCACCGTAAGCATGAACAATCAATTAAGACCCGAAATGGTTTATCAAATCCTTCCAGTGATTGCTAAGCCAGAATCCATCTTCTCGGTTGAAATTGTCAGCAGAGGTGTACGGATTTTCAACAGAAACTAGATCTCTGCATAAAGAGGCTTGGGGCTATGGGTTGTTATTTGTTTTCAAAGCTATGCCTCTGCTCACATGTTTTGAGGATTTGTATGATTTTGGGCAGGACGGTCTAAAGCTGCATGACCAGGAGTCGGAACCATTTCCTGTTCAACTTGGCTTCTGACATAAATTCACTCTGGCCCCATGCATTACATTACATAGCATCTTCAATAACTATGTACTCTTCGGGTGTTTCGGTCAAGTCACGTAGATAGAAAATGATCGATCATGATGTTTCTATCACAACACAAGCAATCGTCTTCAGGTGAGAGAGAGAGAAAGCTGCTTGAAATTCGTGATCTGATCCCATCTGTGAAGGATATGATTCCTGACATGCAATACCCCGGTGTCTACAAACTAAGTTGTGTCTGTGGCAGTAGTTACATTGGGGAAACTAAACGACATGTCTCGGGCCGTGTTTGTGAACACAAGGCGGAACTGAAACACGTTAGGACCAATACCTCGGCCGTGGCTGATCATTGTTTTAATGCTGTGGGCTCACATGATATTGATATTTCCAAGACGAAGGTAATCTGGAAACCCACTGGCTATCATCAAAGATTTTTCTAGAAGCCATCCAGATATATAAACATAGACAACTTCAACCAAGAAGATGGGTACAAATTGAGCAATCATTGGAAGGACGTGATTAACCAGGTAAAGGCTTAACTTGCTATGATGTTTCCATCCTTTCTACCGATGTTAACTGACATTACTAGGTTGGATGTCTTTGTATTGACAGGCTGAGTGTCCACTGCCCCAGCCTCTGTGGTTCATCCATCTCTATCTCCACCCACCTACCTTGATGCACCCATCTCAGGCCTATATAAGACCTTGTCTCAGTAGCTTTTTCTCGCTCTCTCTCACCTGAAGACGATTGCTTGTGTTGTGATTGGAACGTCGTGATCTATTATTTTCTATCTACGTGACTTGACCGATAGATCCGAAGAGTATTAATTCCTGCAGTCACGAAAGCTTTAAATCAAGAAATAACTATGTAGTGTGAGAAACTCCCAATGGTCATATGAAAACCATTGCATTCGTTACAGTTACAATGATACACTAATCGATGCCTGGTTATAGTTAAAGGATCGTTCCCTGGTGGTCAACCATGTTACATCTGCTGATGATTTGGTAATCGCTACTCAATGAGATGGAATTAGGGAATCTTGTTCTGTGCTTTGATAATTCCATCATGAAATGGGGCCTTGCAAATGTTCCACAAAAGATAAATCACCTGCCTGGGAATGTCATGTCATACAACACTGGACCTCCTCAACTCTTCATGAATAATCAGGCAGTTCTAAAAGTGTTGGAGGCGCTCCCATACCTGGTTAATGTGTCCATTACCAGCTCTGGTTTGGCAGCCAAAGTCTCACTTCAAATTAGTCGAGCAGCATTATTTCATTAGACTGTGTAACACTGTGTGGAAGGTGCCTGGACTTTTTCTCCATACAAAGCTTTGTCCATCACCAAGGTCTAGTCCAGCTTGAGACCATCCCTCTCCCTGCCATATCGCACCCGCCCCTCACCCTTCATCCTGCAGATGGCGGGCACACAGGATGGCACCACTTAGCCATTTCGAGCTTGCATGACTGTTGGCGAACACAACCCCTGGGCCCTGGCTCTAGGGGTGATATCAATATAGAATATATGTAAGGATGCCCCCGAATAGACTCCCCCTGGAACTCTACCAGACACGTCCCACTGGGCGATGACCCCGGGGCTGGCCCAGGACACGCTGGCGGGACTATGTCGCTCTGCTGGCCTGGGAACACTTGGAAATTCTCCAGGATGAGCTAGAGTCTGTCACCAGGCAATGGGAGGCCTGGACCATCCTACTCAGCATGCTGCCACCGCGACCCTCACCAGGACCAGCGTTTTTAGAAACTAACAAACAAAGCTGTGATTCTTCTTGGCCACAGATATTACTCTGTGGATGCAAAATGTGAACTTATTTTAATGACCATCTGTGCTGTCTTACACAATGAAGGCTGGCCTGCCATGATTCATCCTCTATTCAACCAGACTATATTCTATTAGAAGCTTACAGATCCTTAAGATATCAATATAGAATATAATCTTGAATCTCTTTGGCAGGCGAGGCTGCACTGGGATTTTTTTGCACACAGCGTTGGTGTACGGTGCTTTTTTCAGAAATATTTTGCTGTGTTTTTTCATGGATTTTCTGTTTGCACAGTCACATAGTCACTTTAAGATGTTTTCTTGTTCGTGTTTTTGTTTGTTTGTTCTGGTTGCACCCGATTCAAGAGCCGAATGGCTCACAGGGCTATACCAAAATAAACTGAAACTGTAAACTGCATTGGTTCGGTCATGAATCCCGCATTCCCAGACACTGCATGCTCAAGCAGCTTTTTGTCCAGATATTAGAGGCTGAACAGGCATGGCATTAGCTAGAGAAGAGATTGGAGGATGTGAAGGTGATCGGACCTGCAGATGACTGGTACCAGAGTGTCAAGATTGGCCTCTGTGGAGGAATCCCGTGGGGTATGCTGCAGGGCAGATTATAGATATTTGCTCTGCAAAAACGATGAGGCCAGAAGAGCGACGCCCACATGAATAATAGGTGGAACGCTGGGTTCCTCAAACCCAGCAAGACAGTGGGGAGCACAGCTGGTTCTTCTGTCAGTCATGCCTTGACACCTGGATCATTCCCATTACCTGCTGACAAGGAATCCACACTTTCATGGCCTTAAATTGCACCTATCATGGCATTAGCACTGGGATAAGGTTTGCTTGCAATTCGTCATGAATGATGGATGTTTTGTTTATACAATGTTAATGATCCTTGCGAAATGTATGTGTATTTAAGAGTTTATCTTTGTAGGGAGCTGTAGTGCATTATGAACTCAACAATTAGTTTGATTATTGCCGAAAGCAAACATGATTGCAAAGTGAAAGCTGAACTTATTGTTGGCCTCTGCTATGTTGCATAATCTTAAATTAATTACATGGTGAAGTGAGGATGCACTAATACTGAGCAGATGAATGCGGCCAGGCATGGTTCTGGACACACCACCACCTTTCTACCATGCCAGTGTGTGACAGTGTCAAGTTTGTATTTGCAGTAAAGTATATTAACAATTGTACATGGAGGTTAAATCAAAACAATAGCTTATTTTAGTTTTCCTCTGAAACTTTTTGTAAGAATGGAAACAGGAAATTAACACAGCATATATGCAGCTGAATTTAGCTCTGTTCATCTAAGCATTCAAGCAAATCTGAGCCTGGCTTCACACCTCTAAGTTGCAATTTTATATTAATTTATGCATTTCTGCATAGTACAAATAGTATTATTTTCAACAGCCTTTGCTATGTTAGCTGAAATTTGCTTGGTGTTTTGGGTTAATATTTATTTTGAAGATACTAGGGCCTCCAGGCATATTTATAACCATTTGCCCTCTCATTGTGTGCCTTCACAGCCCGTGTGATGGATTGGGGAATATCTGGAGTATATGAATAAATGTAGACGTGTAAGTCATGTGTGACTATGTATATATATATTTATTCCTCTGTGCCTCGATACTGACGTAGATGGTGTTGATATTTTTTCTGTCTGCAGCTGACGCATCTTCTGACGCTTCCTCAGCAGAATTGGTCTGATGGAGCAAAGGCACTCAGCGCAGCCCGGTTCAAAAAGACAATGGGACCAGGATGCAAACAGCATGGATTGTACTGGAAGTGTGACACGGCACCAGAGAACTCAAACAGGAGAGAAACCCTTCAAGTGCACTGTGTGTGAGAAGGCATTTGCATGGTCATCAGTTCTTCAAAAACACTGGAGAACACACACAGGAGAGAAACCCTTCAAGTGCACTGTGTGTGAGAAGGCATTTTCAGATTCATCCACCCTTAATAGACACCAGAGAACACACACGGGAGAGAAACCGTTCAAATGCACTGTCTGTGAGAAGGCATTTGCAGAGTCATCATTTCTGCAGATCCACCAGAGAACACACACAGGAGAGAAACCCTTCAAGTGCAGTGTGTGTGAGAAGGCATTTGCACAGTCACCACATCTTCAAAAACACCAGAGAACACACACAGGAGAGAAACCTTTCACGTGCACCCTTTGTGGGAAGCCCTTTGCAGAGTCATCAAATCTTAAAGAACACCAGAGAAGACACACTGGAGAGAAACCTTTCAAGTGCACTCTCTGTGAGAAGGCATTTGCATTGTCATCAGATTTAGAAAAACACCAAAGAACACACACAGGAGAAAAACCCTTCAGGTGTAGTGTGTGTGGGAAGGCATTTTCATATCCATCTGTCCTTAAAACACACCAGAAAATACACACGGGAGAGAAACCGTTCAAATGCACTGTCTGTGAGAAGGCATTTGCAGAGTCATCATTTCTGCAGATCCACCAGAGAACACACACAGGAGAGAAACCCTTCAAGTGCAGTGTGTGTGAGAAGGCATTTGCACAGTCACCACATCTTCAAAAACACCAGAGAACACACACAGGAGAGAAACCTTTCAAGTGCACTGTGTGTGGGAAGGAATTTTTAGGTTCATCACCTCTTAAAAGACACCAGAGAACACACAGGCATCAGGAGATCCCCAAGGAGTCCAGTCTGAAATCGACTTGTGAAAGTCAAAGTGCTACAATGAGCCCATCTCTCCTGAAAATAGAACCAGAAGTCAATTCCAGCTTGGACACTATGAAATGTAGCAAGGAGAAATTTGAAGAGGCGAAGGTGAAATGTGAAGAGGCGACAGTGAAGAGCGAAGAAGCGAAGGTAAAATGTGAAGAAGTGATGAAGAGCGAAGAAGTGAAGGTAAAATGTGAAGAAGATTCAACTCCAAAATCGGACCTTCACATCGATGGAGGCAACGTGAAGCAGGAGGAGATTTCTGACTGTGAGGCAGAGCGAGGCAACTCCCAGCAGTTTGTAGAAGTGGAGGTGTGGGTGGACTTCTTAGACAATACAAAGTCAAATGGAGACCTTGTAGATGTGTAAGCCTGAGACAATGAAGCTCCAATAGATTCACCTTTATCACAGGCCTTTAATGAAAAGAACGTGAAGTTGAATACTCCATTCCGAGGTTCAACCTGCAGAGTAAGAGCGGTCGGTATTTGCGGACCTGTTGGTTGGGTAGATCTCTAACTAGGAGCGGGAGCCAATAAGCTCCCAAGCATTCACTGTTATGATATTAGCATGTATATGGTGCTTGCTTAATCGCCTCAGCAACTTGGCGTTTTGTATCATATCTCATCACAAACACTCTGAGAGCACGCCTTTTGGCACCCATTGTTCTGATAGTGCATTGTCATTGTGCTGTACGCCTTTCAGCGTCCTCTGGTCTAACACCGTTTGAGACGAGGCTTGAAGGAAAGCTGTCTCTGGTGTGAAGTAATGAGTTTCAAAGATAACGCATATATTATCAGTGTTTTTTGTTTGCATTCTGACCACATTCCTTGTAAACGGTTTCTGTTTGGTGTTTTAACATCTCAACACTTGTTTCCAGAAAAAAGGAGAAAACCTGTTCTCACTCGAAGAGTATGTTGCATAAATGCCTTTTCCAAAAAAAATTATTGAGTGATTCTGCCTATTGTTTTTCATAATTTTGATCGGGATGTAGCGCTGGGGCATGGAAAGGGTGAGTGTCCCCCCCCCTGCCTCCTGCCTTGCCACACAAAAGACAGCTGGAGGATAACTACTCACAAGCCTGTTTGGGAAGTCATAAAATCTATTATCTAAAAAAAAACTGCAAACCCAAGGGGGGGCTAATGAGATTCTGCAGGAAATCCCCAGTTGACTTCAAGAGAAGGCCGCCATAAAGGAAACAACCCACGATAAAACAAAAACAAACATAAGAAGGAAATGGCAGGGGTCACGAACCTCCCTTGGACAGCAAAATCCACCCAAGGGCAGTTAATTATTATGATCTGACTGGGGTTTTTAAAATACAACAGTAAAGTTTGAAGCTTAGCTATATCTTCAGCCTCAGGATATCAAAATATAACTTGAGAATAAGCACGGATCCCTGGCGATACAGATGGGGAACAAAGGTTAATAAAACCCTCAGAATATCTTTTGTAACAACTATGGTATGCCACAAAACTTGGTTAAGCATGAACTAAATAATTTTAAAAGTATTAGACCTAGAGTCATTCAGAAGTGATACAATCTGAAATATGTCAATCACACAAGACCAAGATAATATGTATTCCATGGGATCAGAGCCTCACCAACTCCCTTTGTCTTCCAATAGCTAACAGCACATGGTAGCAGTAAATTATGTATGCAGGGGGGCGCCTAATATATCAAATACCACGTAAGAATTACAAACCACGACGTGAGTGCTGTGAACGCTGCTCAAAACTGCGGAAAGTGGTTCGGTGCCAAGCTAATAGAGGTGAATAATAATATATTTTTTACTTCCAACCCGTGATGAGAGGACGGGAATACATGGCGACAGCAAGCACACCCGTGCACAATAGGTCACAACTACAAAGGCCACAGCGCCCCTTTTTGAGAGAGGACTGCAAGTTTGATGCGAAAAAAATTAACACTTCCAGCCCGTGGTGGGAGCGTGGGGAACGCTGCCCAAAACGTGAACAGAAACATGTTGGTAGTAAAGACATCCGGACAACAAACAGCCCAAGCGACTTCAAAAGGAAAACAGCTGCCCCTTTATGAGAAGAGAGCATGAGGTGTGTGTTGTATATACGGGCCTTTTTACAAAAAATTATAGTAGGAATAATTCTGCCAATTTTTTTTTATGAGACCTTTGCCAGAATCAAGATATAGGAATAGGTTTTACCCTTTTGACTGGCACAAAAACTGACACCTTTATTCAAGGCATCATGTTTGCAATAACCACAACACAAGCAGTCAAAATGCAAACAAAAAAGACAACTCTGATAATAATATGCACTGTCCTTGAATTTGATTGGTCCACATCCGAGACAGCTTTTCTTAGAGCCTAGTCTCCATTGGTGTTGGACCAGGAGTTGTACTCCTTTTGGCGTCTTCTGGTCCAACAAGTACGCCTTTTGGCGTCTCCTGGTCCAACACCAATGGAGACTAGGCTCTAAGAAAAGCTGTCTCGGGTGTGGACCAATCAAATTCAAGGACAGTGCATATTATTATCAGAGTTGTCTTTTTTGTTTGCATTTTGACTGCTTGTGTTGTGGTTATTGCAAACATGATGCCTTGAATAAAGGTGTCAGTTTTTGTGCCAGTTAAAAGGGTAAAACCTATTCCTATAATTTTTTTTATATAATAATCGGGGTGAAGCATGGGGCATGAAGGGGTGAGGCAAACTCCCACCCCTCACACCCCAGCTGCCTTGCCAAATTAAAGCAACTGGAGGGAGGAGGTCATAATGACAATCTGGGAAATCTCCGGATTGTCAAAGAACCATATGACACCACCTCCACGGACGTTTTGGACAGTTCACAACTATCCAGACTCACTGGTGTGGGAGGAACCGCCTGGTCTCAATCGAAACATACTAACACGGTCGTTGCACCACCCCATTCAGACGGACGCAGAGCACAGGGCGACAAGTATAAATTGACATTACAGACTGCCACTACACTCTCAGATTAAGAACCAGACTGCAGTCTACATTAGTGGCTTTTATTACTTACCACATTTTTTATTTGTTATTGTATCTTTCTATCTATGTGACTTTACCGAAATAACCAAATATGAGTTCCGGCAATCACGAAAGCTTAAGTCAAAACCTAGTTATATCTCCAACCTCATGATACCAAAATTTAACTCGAAAATAAGAAGCACAGATCCCTAGCAACACAAAAGGAGAACAAAGCTTAATAAAACCCTCAGAATACCTGAGGTAACAACTATGGTACATCAAAAATCTTGGTTAAACATAAACCAAATAATAACTATTAAGTATCAGATCTAGGGTAATTCAAAAGAAAACAATGCAAAATAGGTCAATCACACACGACCAAGATAATATGTATTCCAAAGGACCAGAGTCTCCAAACCGCCTTTGTCTCCCAGCAGCACATGGTAGCACGACATTGCATACACAGGGAGGGCGCCTCCCCTTGAGATATCAAACACCATGAAGGATTTCCAAACCACGACGGAAGTACTGCAAATATTGCTCAAAACATACCTTGAGTCACAGAATCAAAACCGCAAAAAGGGTACGGTATCATACTATAAGAAGTCAAATATTATTTTAACTTCCAACCGGTGCACGAGAGAACACGACTTCAAAGGCCACAGCGCCCCTCTTTGAGAGAGACAAAAATGTAACACCCCGACCGTGAAGGAAGAGGGGGGAGAACGCAACTGGACAGGGGAAACTCCCCCCCCCCCCCTTCCAGATTAATTATTGCAGAGGGTTGGAGGACTGGAAGGACGCACTTGGGGGCAATTTGGAGCATCTATTTCCATTGATGGCGGGGTGGCTTGAGGAAGGGGACAGGAATCAGGCCTTGATGAGACTCAACAGATTACTTTAATAAACTTAGAACACACACACAACAGACAAACAGCTGTTCCCACAGGCTGAGAGCGAAATCAAAGGAATTCCGTTCCGTTGTGAGAAGGCGAGCTGAGGTGGGCGAATTTCACATATAAGCAAGGACACAGATCATGCAACTAAGTCTTGCTGTGGAAAGCTCCGGGGGTGGGCCCCGCAATCGACCAAGGATGGTGAGGCTTGCAGAGTAGCGATGTGTCACCGAGTACGAGTTCAGCGCTGGCAGACGAAGTATCGCTAAAAGTTTTATTCTACATTGAGTGTCAGCTCCCACCCAGCTGCAGCAAGAGAGAAAGAGAGAGAAAGAGTGACGAGCAACGACAAGCAATCAACCTGGAGAAAGGGCGGAAAAGCGCCAAGCATCTATCAAGCGAGCATCGCACAGGACCAGCAGCAGCGGCTAACGACTACCCACGAGTGTGCGGACTCTGAAGCCGATCACACTCCTGCAAAGGTCAAGCCTACAAGGACCAACCTTGCCTGGTGCAAGTGAGAGAGCGTGACCGGCGCAACCGAGCAAGAGTGTCGGCATCAGCGACCAGTGGACGAGCTGCGAGCACAATCGGGCACCTTCAAAGACAAGCGTCGTGCCGACTCAGCTCATCCAGCAGCAGAGAGGCCTGCAGCTGCCGCCAAGAGAGAGCGAGGATGCCGTCTGTATGACACCCCCACACACACACGACTCATCACTCAGCAGGGAACCAACACATTTTTGGTACAAGAAACGCCCCACCTCGGCATCTGCTTAACGCAAAGAGTTGAGCAAGGAGGCAATACACCAATACACAAATAACGCACATATCGGGACTAATAAGATTACTCCAAAGTTATCTTTGTGTTTCAAAAAGGGTGGCCATCCTAAGGTGGTGCGTCAACTATTAGCTGATTGTGGAAAGCATTGCTGCCCATTGAGTTACGTAGATACGGTCGTTTAGAAGTATTTTAGTAATTTTCTTTGATTCTTTCGGTAAAGTCACGTAGAATGAGAATAAAATAATAAATTGATAAAATAAAATAACACAATAAAATTCTCACGACGTTTCGGCCACAACACAAGCGGCCTTCATCAGGTGAAGGGACGAGACTGTCTGGAGGACAGCGCTGGGACTAATAAGACAGCGCTGTCCTCCAGACAGTCTCGTCCCTTCACCTGATGAAGGCCGCTTGTGTTGTGGCCGAAACGTCGTGAGAATTTTATTGTGTTATTTTATTTTATCAATTTATTATTTTATTCTCATTCTACGTGACTTTACCGAAAGAACCAAAGAAGATGAATCCTTGCAGTCACGAAAGCTTTAAATCGAAATTTATTTTAGTCATTCTTGTTAATTGCATACTCT